GAAAAAAAATATATATATATATATATGTCGTCTCCAGTAGGGCAGCCTTTGGAAGACGCTCCACTATACGCAATCATGTGAGAGGTGCAGCTTTAGCCATTTTTCCAATTAGTTGTGCAAGAGTTTTAATAGTTAGAGTAAGCATCAAAAATCAAAAGCAAAGATGAGTCCTGGGACAGCAGAGGCACATACACAGAATTAAGAGATTACATTGAAGGCTTTTTTGTTTGTTTCTTTTGTCCATCTGCTGTTTGTCTCTGGCTTGCTAGTCAGGGACTGAAATGGAAAGTGGGCACTGAGCTGCTACCGAATGCTCTGCTTTGCTCTCAGTAGATCTCTGTGCAGCAGAACCTGCTGTGCAGAGGAGAGCTGACTCCCAAAGCCGCACCTTCAGGTCCGTGATGGGGCTCACACTATGGTACCTCTTCCCTCAGGCTGATCCTAGATGGTGAGTGAGTACTCGAGTCAGACCACTTCTGCCTGAGGAAGGACAGTGTGCCAGGACATCTGTGAGTAAGGACCCACCCTCAGTGCAGCCAAGATGTGCATAGGTCTGCTGCGGCTTGAAATCCTCCCTATGTCTTTGTCTTTTCATCAGCATCAGTCCTGCATCTTGTTTGAAGGATCCGTTCACCTTCTCCCGCTCCCTTCTACTTCATCCTTCACAGAACTCTCCCCGCTGAACCTCTAATACACCCAGTTTAGTCATGGCATCTGCTGCTCGTAAGCCTGATCTGACTAATTCCTAACGGGGTTACTATCAGACTTGTGTTCAAGGAGATACTTTATTCACTTTTGGATTACTAAAATGTGACATAATGTTTGAAAAAATAATAGTAGTTGTTTTTTAGGCATTCCCTTGTGTATCATGTATTGTTTTCCTCTGGATGTTTTAAGGTTTCTTTTTGTATCTTTGTTTTTTACTAATTTGGTTAATTGTGTGTAAGTGTGACTGTCTTTCATTGTATTTTTTTTTCTGAGCATTTTACATCTATAAATTTATAACTGTTACTAAATTTCAGAAGTTTTAAACCATTTTTTTACTCTAACATTTTTTCCTGCACCTATCTCTTACATGTTATTAATTATTATTATTTTGAACCTAAATGACAGGAGTGCTAGATTTTTGACCCTGCTTCCCATCCCTGGGCTGGTTTTTTCCCAGTCTATTTTTTGTCTTATTCACTCTGGGTCCATTCTGTTGATCTGTATTTAAATTAATCCACTCATTCTTGTGTCACCTTCATTCTGCTATTAAGCACATCCAGTACTTTTTTTTAAATTTCAGCTATTATGTACCTAATTAAATTTTTATTTAATTTTGATTTATATTTTCAATTACTCTGGTGAAAACTTCTACTTTTTTTTAAATTTTCAAGAATTTAGTTTTATCTTGTGGAAATAACAATTTTAATAACTTAATATATTACATATGTAGTATAAACATAAATAACACTGTTTACTATGCTATATTTACTATACTGTATAATAGCACATTATATTAATTATATATAATGTAATAGAAGATGGCTAGATAGAGAGACACAAAGAGGGTGATTTGAAGTACAAGTGTGCATATTATTATAAAAATAGTTCCATAAATTACAATAGAACAGAATGCCATGTTTGGATAGTCTAATAGTGATCTTCTGATAATGGTGATTCTTGCAGGCATACTGTCTGAAAGCTTTGGGTATGTTATTTCTTTGGCATGGCAAGGTGGCCATTACATTGGCTCTTGGTCACATTTTCTTTGGTCAAACTAATGATGTGATAGGATACATTCTTTTCCAGCCAGCAAGTGAGGGTATCAATAATAAAGTCATGTTTGCCAATGAGGTTTGTGTTGGCTTCCAATGGATTCAGCTGTTAATGTTGCTGTCCTGGATGTCATCATAAACTTGGGAAGTAAACGAGAGTAGATATAAAAGTTACATCTAGTGAACATGGAGATTTAGTATAGAAGGTTCTCAATACTTGCTGAATAAACTCAACCAAATCGCCTTTACTCTTAATTGATCAGTGCCTAAACTATTAGAAATAATTAGAAATTAAATCAATACCTCATTTCACTTAGATTTTTTAAATTGCATATGCTTACTTATTAAATTATATATGTAAACATATATTCAAATTTATTGTATATTGATATATTTGTTCTTTTTCTACTTCAAGGTTATAACATTAAAGTTTCTATATGAAACAAAGGATTAAAGTGAATAGTTTAATAGTTTAATTAAAGTTGTAGAGGGCAAATATGGATAAAAGGGGATGGAAAAGATAAAATAAAATTAAATTAAAAATAATTAAATAAATGAGGTAAGTGTGTATAAAACAAGAAAGGAATTAGGGACTGTGGAGACTTGAGGATTGATGTCCTATAACACACACACACACACACACACACACACACACACACAGATCTCTGTTAGGATGATAAAACTTTGTCCAAAATGAGCATTTTTTTTAAATCAAAGACCAGATAGTAAATATTTAGTTTTTAAAGAATTTTTTTCTTTATCGATTTTAGAGAGGAATGGAAAGGGAGAGAGAGATAGAAACATCAATGAGAGAGAACATCAATTGGCCACCTCCTGCAAGCCCCCCACTGGGGATTTGGTCCACAACCTGGGCATGTGCCCTGACCTGGAATCAAACCGGCGACCTCTTGGTGCATGGGTCAATGCTCATCACTAAGCCACACCGGCCAGGCATGACAGCAAATATTTTAAACTTTGTGGGTCATATGATCTCTGCTACAATGACTCAACTCTACTATTGCTGTGCAAAGGAAGCCAGGCACAACATGTGAGTGAATGGGTGGACCTGTTCCAGTGAAACTGTATTCATGGAAACAGTGATACTCTGTTTGGGCTCCCGAGCCATCATTCCCCAACCTCTGCCATAAATGAAACAATAGAATAAAAGTCACTGATTAGAGTTTTGGGCCAAATTGTTATTCATGCCCCCAATTTTCCAATTACTTACTTCAATTATGTGACACAATTTATTTGTAAGTCATTCTGCTCAGTTATCTTGAATGTCATTTTAAATATTGATCCACAGGAAGAGCTATTATTTTTTCATATTAATTGTCCAAATGGATTCTTTTCAGGAAAATTATTTTTTACACTATCATTGGGCTAAACAAAAACATCTACAAAGCCAGATACTGACTCAGTTCTATCATCAGAGCATGACCAAGAGTGTGCTTCTGTCTCTGTGACTTCCATGCTGAAATGTGGAGGATCAACGTGGGACGCTGCACAGAGGAGCGGCCGAGCGGCACACACTCACAGGACCCAGGAAAGACATCATTTCCAGCAATGCTAGAGGTAAGTAAAATAGCAGGGGCGAGGACATTAAATCTTGCAGAGCTATAAGAATAGAACTAAAAGACAATAGTTTTAAAATAGAAACATAACTTACTTTAGTCATGAGGTAGGGTGTGGTTTTTTGTTTATGTGTCTTTTGTGGGTTTTTTTGTTTGTTTGTTTTCAGTTTGGCTTTATTTTTTAATTTTCTTTCTTTATTGATATTAGAGAGAGAGAGAAAGGGAGAGGGAGAGGGAGAGAGAGAGAAACACTGATGAGAGAGAACATCAGTTGGCCGCCTCCTGCATGCCCCCCACTGGGGTTTTGGCTTACAACTTGGGCATGTGCTCTGACAGGGAATGGAACCAGTGACCTCTTGGTGCATAGGTCCATGCTCAACCCACACCTGCTGGGCTCAGTTTTGCTTTTAGGTATTCATTCCTATAGCATGTAGATGATTGGTCTTAGGGAAGACACAACTGTGAAACTTTTTATTGGCTCATGAAAACATTGATTTGAACAAATAACTATTATATTCATGCCTAAACTTTCCTTTTACTCCTCCCCAGAAAAACAACATTTTGCACGAATTGAGATAAATTATTTTTTGGTTGATTTTGATTTATATTTTCCAAACTGAAAAAGCAATTATCTCTACTTCCTCCTTACTTGGCGAATGTCCAAGACTATTTATGTGAGGATATTAAAAGGATTATTTTCTAATCCAGCAGGTTAATTATTTAATAATTTAGTCATTTGACTTTTTTCCATTAGGAAGAAATTGGCTTTTATTGTATATCTTTCTCACAAGGCAATGATATGTTCTTTTTTAGGCAGAAAGAATATTCTCTTTTCCAGCAATTTTAGAAAAGGTCTTTCTACACATTTTATGTATTTTTCTGTACATTTTAAATAGTTAGTTAATCCAGGGGAAATTGGACTATTGCTAGGAAGATATTTTCATTGCCTTTAGCTATCACATTATGGAAAATATGAAAGAAGCTGGGGATTTTTTTTAAGAGCTTGTGTCTTGGATATGACTCCTTTCATAATATGAAAATGCCTTCAGTTTTTATAGACCTGGAGACTTAAACAATTGCGAAACTTAAATTCAAAATATAGTCTATTCCTGATAATTTTCTTATGAGTGTGTTTGAAATCAACAACGCCGTTGTCTCTTTCTGCCACACTCTTTCTCATGACACACCATTCCATCCCCAACACAAGAGTTTTGCACCTGCTCGCCGTGATTTCATTTGCAGAAGTAAATCTCACAAGTAGTGATGTAACGGTGCTTTTCTTGCAATGTATTGTGTTTGATTTTTCTCACATGTGTTCTCCACAGTAAGTGCACTCTGTGTATATGTAAGAAGAATTTAGTGTATGTATTAGATCATGAGGCAATCAAAGCCGGGTAAATCATTATCACTGTTGCTAAATATACCCTTTTAGGTAGTAAAAGTTTCAAAACAGACTACATTGAAAGTTTTTTTTTGTTTTTTTTTTTTCACTGTTCAAGGTTTATTTGGCATTTTCGTTGGTATGACACTTGGATAGTTGGCTACATTTTTTTATATGTAGACTTTTCTTTTTACAGTATATGGCAATATACACTAATCTGATACATATAGAACACAGAATAAAATCCTTTAGAACAGTTATGCACAAGACATGCAATACTGGATCCCAGGATGAAATTGACTGGAGAAAAAGAAAAGTTGGACTAGGCATGTTGGGTAAAGGAACCAGAAGTTATATAACACAGTGCACACACATCTAGTTTGAAGGGCAGCTGTAGTGTGTGCAACACTGGCAGTGGTGCCTTTGAGGAGGTGGAACTATTTCACACTAGCCTGTTTAGGACTGCACAAGGTGAGCACCATCCAGCACTAGGACATAGCTGCAGGGTTTCATGAACCATTACTATTTCTATCTTTAGGAAACTGATGTTTTTAGTCACAAATCAGATAAAAAGGACAATATGCAGAATCTCCAACTAAAATCCTGTGGTAGCCTAGACAGTGAGGGGGTATGACACGAGAAGACTTTAAAATTGCAGCTCTTTCTGGATCCCCCAAAGTGTGTCTGCAGTCTTCTTCAAACAGGCCTCTTCCTCAGTTGTCAGAGCCACCTTCACGACATCCGAGATTCCACTCTGTCCCAAGATACAAGGAACACTAAGGAAGACATCTTCTTTTATTCCATAGAGACCCTTAATCATGGTGGAAATTGGATGCACCCGTCTAAGATTCTTCATACTTTCTGCTAAATCTGCCACAGACAGTCCAATGGCCCAGGACGTGTAGCCTTTCAGTTTGATCACCTCATAAGCACTGCCAACCACCTGTTTGTGAACTTGTTTCCATTGCTCCTTATCTGCATCAGTGCCTAATTCAGGGTGCAGGGTCTTTAGGGAGACACCAGCAACATTCACTCCACTCCATACAGGCACACTAGAGTCTCCATGCTCCCCAAGGACCCACCCATGACAGCTTAATGGGTGAACTCCCAGCCTCTCCCACATTAGGTAACGGAACCGGGCTGAATCCAGATTGCAACCACTTCCAATAACACGGTTTTTGGGAAAGCCGCTTATCTTCCAAGCCACGTAGGTCAAGATACCCACTGGATTGGAAACAATGAGCAGTTTGCAGTTGGGACTATATTTGACAATATTAGGAATGATGAATTTAAAGATGTTCACGTTACGCTGGACCAAATTGAGACGGCTTTCTCCCTCTTGTTGACGTGCCCCAGCTGTGATAATCACCAGCTTGGAGTTCGCAGTCACACCATAGTCTTTGCCAGAGACAATTTTTGGTGTTTTAAGGAAAAGGCTGCCATGTTGGAGATCCATCATCTCTCTCTTTAATTTGTCTTCCATGACATCAACGAGAGCAAGTTCATCTGCCAAGTCCTTCATTAAGATACTGATGGCACAAGCCATGCCAACAGCACCAACCCCAACAACTGTGATCTTATTCTGGGGTTTTTGTTCTTCCTTAAGAAGATTCACAATCAGCTGATCCTTGAGCGTTGCCATACTGGACTTCGGAATCGAGAGTGCACGGCGGGCGGGCGTCGGTGGCGCGCGACGTTGGATCCGGACTTGGCGGCAGCTGCTCGGTACTCCTACATTGAAAGTCTTAAATGAAGCACTGTATTAGTGTCTAAGGTGCATTGATTTTACTTGTGTGTACTCCATGCAACTTTTCTATGCGAAATTCAGTATCAATATTATGAGAACATATACTGTTCATATAATCATCCAGGAAATATACTAGAATTCTGGATGGACTTTTTCAAAGATTATAAAAATTATGTTATAAAAACATAGAACATTCTGTAAAATATATGCACCGATATTTTAATTATGGATATCTCTGCATGAGTGACAAAAGTGAGGGTATTTTTCTTACTAATTTTGCTATTTGGGGCAGAAAATATGTTATTTTATCATTAGGAACAATATGGTTTTACATATTCAATCATATTAACAGAATGATCTCAAGTGGTTTCATAGCTTTTCAATTAACTACTTAATAGCCTACACAGATTCTGTACAAGTTTTCAAATGAAGTCCATGTTGCTGGAATTATTCAAAAGTCTCTCTCTTCTGGACTGTTCAAACTATCCAGCTTTTCTGTTACAATATACTTTGTTCAATGTTAGATTGAATCATCCTTTTTTTCCTAAAGGCACCTACCTTTGGATCACTTAGTCCCAGTCTCCAAATGACCTTGACATAACCCATCCTTAAAAAACATAATTAAATTAATTAATTTACTCTGCTTTTATTATTGAGAGTATCACTTACATTGAGATCATTTCATTCTGCTTCACCTGTATTTTTTCTGAAGACATTAAAATCACATTAATATTTTTAAATGTTCTGTGAAATGTTCTAATTATTAATTGATGATGCAATACGAATGAGCAAAATAGTCATTGAGTCAATCCATGTTAATTTTGTAATGTTAATAATTTATAGGTATATACTTTTTTTTAAGGAGTTTCCTTTAAACTTCTCATGACAACAGAAGGAAAGGAAGGAAGTAGGGAGGGAGGGAAGGAAGAAGGAAGGAGGGAAGAGAAGTAGGGAAAAGGAAGGAGGGAAGGGAGAGAGAGAAGAAAATGTTTCATAATGAACTGGATCTCTAATTTGGGACAATTCTAACTGCAGTAGAGAGTCAGAGTCCCCACTGTTGATGACAATGCTGCGGTGCTCTGGGTGCAGAGTTTAGAACCTGAGAAAGCTGAAGTAGCCACCAGATGACAGGGCTGAGCAGAAAGGGAGCCTTATAAGTCTATTTCTGGGACATTGTAAGTTTATAGTATTAGAGTGCAGTGTTCAAGATCAATCACTATGCATTGAGAATGGTAATGAGTAAACAGATTAGAGCAATCTTGGAGAAAAATGGTGGTAGGTAACATTTTGTTCCAAGTCATCCAGAATAGATAGATTATTTTAACACCATATCAACATCCTTGACATCCAGCTAAGACAAGGCAAAGGCCTGAACCTTAACAGCAAGAACCATGCCTTAGGGTAAGATCTACAAACCAAGCTGTAACCAGAGAAACCAGGTTTGGAGGTCGAATAGTGTGAAGTCAGAGGAATGTACCCAACACTTTGGATTTCTATGAAACCAGCCTAAAGGGCATAAATCCAAGTCTTAAATGTGAGTTGCTAATTCAGTAATTTAATTGCTTGCTATACCAAGAATCAAACCTCTTCCAAGGAATATGATGAACTGAGTGATTTTAGAGCTAATTTTCACAATCTTCAGTAGAAAATAAAATCGTTAGACATAGAAGTAAATGGGGATAAATTATATAGTGTAGTCAAGATAAAAATGAAAGCCGTCAATAAATTGAGTATGAGACTTTGTAATTTTCCCAGTATTATTCATTGAAGAGGCCTTCTTTTTTTCATTACATGGTTTTGGTTCCCCTGTCAAAAATGTGTGTGTGTGTGTGTGTGCATAAAATTTCTGGGCTCACAATTCTATTCCCTTGGTCTGTGTGTCTGTTCTGCTAGTGATGTGCTGGTTTAAGTATTGTCACTTTGCAGTATAATTTGATGTCAGGGAGTGTGATGCCTCCACCTTTGTTCTTTCTTTTCTCTTGATTGCTTTGACTATTCCAAGTCTTTTGTGACTCCGTATAATTCCGATAATCTTTTGTTCTATTTATTTAAAAAACACCATTGGAATTTTGATGATGGATACATAAAATCTATACATTGCCTGGATAATATGGTACATATATCAATGAAAAACTACTCAGAAAAGATAAAATACTGACATTTACAACAAACTGGATGGATCTTGAGAAGATCATGCTAGCTGAAAGAAGGCAGATGGAAAATGTCAGAACCATCTGATTTCACGCATATGTGAGATACAAAACTGAAAGCAACAAACCAACAAAGAAGACAAGCAAGCAAAGAAAAACTCATCAATAGAGATACCAGTATGGTGGTTGTCAGAAGAAAGGAGTGGTAAAAGGAGGTAGAAAAGGGTAATGAGGTCAAATAGACAGTCACAAAGGAGACTTGACTTTGGTGGTGAACATACAATGCAATAGATAGATGATGTTATAGAATTGTACACTTGAAAATTACATAATTTTATTAACCATTGTTACCCCAGTAAATTTACTACAATTATTTTCAAAAACTGAGTATTAGATGAACCAAGCATAGATCTCAGCAAAGGCTTTTATATAGTTTTTTAAAAAGTCAAAGTATTAAAAAATATTCAAAAAATAAAATCAATATAAATGAACAAGGATAAAATCTTAGCGAAAACAACAACAACAAAAACGGAGCAACAGTAGCAAAGCAAAGGGATCAACTAAGTAGAAAGTCTAGAACTGCAAATTAACAATAAAATGAAAAGATCAAAAGATGAACTTAACAGAATGAAGAGTCATTTAACTCAAAACAAGTCAAAATAAATTATTAAAACATAAAAGGCAAAAAGGTAGTAGATAGAAGGAAAATGAGCAGAGGATCAAGAATCCATGAACACATCTGTTTTTGTATGTTGTCTCTTTTCTCCATTTGCATGTTTTGGGGACCATGAATCCAAGAGTTAATACCTGAAATTCTGGAGGTATTTCATAGAAAGTTAAAAAAAAAAAAAGTTGTTTTAATTTTGCTTGCAAAAGTTTAATTTAGAAAATTGCTGGAAGTCATAAGTAGCTTAAGATACAAATAATTCTTATATCTGGAAAACAAAGATTACCAACAAGTAATACTTGACATAATAAGTTATAAAAATTATCGCTATTTTTAGTTTATTTAGTCCCCTGTTATTAATTCTTGTTGATCTTGATCTTTGTGTTAGTTTATGCACAGTTTTTTCCCATAGGGTTATGTAAATCTTTACACAGTTCAGTGTTTTGTTTTCAAAGTTGAGTGTTTAAATTTTTTTGAAGATGAAACACAATTGTAGAAATTTTATTTTTGCCAAAGCGTCAGAGTAAAACAATAATTGTCTATATATGATAAAAAGAATTAAAAATGTTCATAGCGAAAGATCCTGTAAGAGCTTATATGCATGTATTCACTCCAATGTTAACTTAACTTTTCTCTCCAATACTGGTTAGTTTAACCATATATATATATATATATATATATATATATATATATATATATATATATATATATATAAAACGTGTGTGTGTGTATTTTCTTTATTGATTTTAGAGAGAGAGGAAGGGAGAGGGAGAGAGAGAGAAACATCTATGAGAGAGAACATATCCACTGGCTGCCTCCTGAATGCTGCCAACTGAGGATCTGGTCCACAACCTGGGCATATGCCCTGACCGGGAATCGAACCAATGACCTCTTGGTGCATAGGTCGACCTCAACCACTGAGCCACACCAGACAGGCTACAATTATATTTCAAATTTTTTTGTTCTCAACATCCACAAACTTTCTGTAACTTTCATATTTTGTTCTGTTTCCTATTTATTTTGAAACAATTATTGTATTAAGAAAAAATGCTTTCTTTTTATCAAAAAGTTCTTTATATCTATTTTTTAAAATCAAAAGCACATTCTATTTTTCTTTTCCTTAACAAAGATATATATTCAAGCTTCATACCGCCTTCTAGTGATTAAGCATCATTTATTTGACACTGCTTCTCATGTAATTGTGCACACCAAGTAAACCTAGTCACTTGAATATTTTTCTTTTGCAAGGGGAAAGTAATTTAAAAAAAAAAAAATGTTTCATGGATTCTTTTAAAAATTTCAAACTTCTTCCCCTGGTTAAGTAGCTCAGTTGGTTAGAGAGTCATCTCGAATGTACCATGGTTGCAGGGTTCTTTCCTGGTCAGGTCACACATGAAATCACCCACTGAAAGTATAAATGAGTAGAACAGCAAATCAATGTCTCTCTCATTCTCTCTCTTTCTCAATGCATAAATTTAAAAAATAATAAAAAATAAAAATTTCAGACTTTTCAAAAATTTCAAAAGTCAAGAAAAATAATCTATTTAATTTTGAATTTGGGAAAGTTTTTCAAACACATCAAAAGTTTTAAAACAGTTTGTCAAATAGAATCAGGTCATTGTGAAACTATTTTTAAGTTATTCTTTAATCATGGTGACAAAACCTTTGCAGGCAAACAGAAAAAGTCAAGTAATTTAAAGAAATATTTAGCTTTTTAATTAAAAAAGATTCAGTTTTCTTAAACAATTATAAACCTGATAATAAAAAGCATGGGGAATTTTAATAAAACATAATAGATTTGCTTTTTCTTCATAATCTCTTATTAAGAGTGGACCAATAGTACAGAAAAAAATTATTGAATTTATTGGGGTATCACTGGTTAATAACAATACATAAGTTTCAGGTATAGAATTCTATAATATATTACCTGTATCTTGCATTGTGTGCTCATCACCCAAATCTAGTCTTTGGTCATCACATCTGTGACCCCCTCTATTCTCGGTATTCTGCCCTTCTCTTCCCCTTTGGTAATCACTATACCATTGTCTGTGTTTATGAGTTTGTTTGTTATTTTGTATGGATATTTGTTGCTTTCTGT